CTAACTGAGCTTCTGAAGAGCCCAGGCGACCTACTTGTGTATTCAATTCCCCTGCAAGTACTATGTTATCTGAACTGGTAGCACTGCATAGTATCGTGTTGGTGTGTAATAGAATGTGTCCTCGGCAGCGTCAGAACTGCAGTTGGGGGAGCGTGAGCGGAAACCGCAAACAATCAGCGTCTTGTACTACATCGTGAATCAACCTTGGTTGATGTCGACAATTAGACTGCACACAAATAACTGTTCACGGGAATCCAATCAAGCAAGGATGTCAGCCTTGGAGCTGAGTACGATGCATACGCCGCATGAGTGTCTCCGAATGCGTGCAACCAATAGCGAGAGGATCGGATGTGTACAGTTAATTCAACAACCTCATGAGGGTCACTGATCCTCGGTTCGGATACGCAATACACGCAAACACCCAAGGCATTCAATGTGCGTGCGAGTGCAACCTGTCGACCTATTTGTCTTAGTGCGAACGTTGAACGCCGCCAGGTAAACGGAACAGCGTTGCCTTATGAAGGAGTGTTGCCAACAGGCTTCCAGTGGGTGGTGCGGAAGGTAGCTGCAAATGGTATGACTCCAGTGGCGTTACGGTTGCTTTCAATCAGGCTGCGAACTATAGAATGAAGATTAGTACTGGGGGTTGAGAGGGGAGTAAGAGAGACAAGTGGAAAAGGGAGGCGACAGCAGTAGCATGTTTTCGATTGTCCGTCCTGCTGCATGCAGCAGATAAGACGACCTTTGATAATCTGAGAGACGAACGATACAGGATGTGGTTAAAGATTGAGAAAATTATCATGGTTGTATGTTGGCTGAGATACTGCCAGGGCACCCAGACCTAGACAGGAGGACGATTAGGGTCCGCAACCGAAGATTTCGGCTCAGAAGCCTGTCCACAGGGCAGCGGGGTGACAATAATCTAGTTTTACAGTAGTGGACGCCATCCCCTTTCAAATTCCAAACCTGAAGACTGAGTTTGTCTGACCTCTAACCATTGACTAACCAGGTAGGAGTAACTCATAAAGGGTCCGGAGGCACCACCCAGTACAGCTCAATAGGTTAAGGAGGTACGCAAACCGTCGAAGCACATTAAGGTCCAGTCTCGTTGCGACAGACAGTCTGGCAGCTGATGTAATCTACCAGTTTACCTGCGGTTGCGATGACGTATACATTGGCAGGACTGACCGAACACTGACTCAAAGTGTGGCAGAACATCTCCCAAGTTGGTTAAGACAGTCGATGTCACAACAAGGCGGAGTGGCGCAGGTGACAAAGCGGAACCCTGCTTCATCTATCGCAAAGCATCTCGTGAGGACTAGTCATTACGTGGCCACATCGACCGCTTTCAAAGTACTCCTGCGAGATAAGAATCTAAAAGGGTTGGCTATAGGCGTAGCACTGTTAATCACGAGAAACCGTCCATCACTGTACGCACAGAAACAATGGAGGCAATCTACTACATTGCCGTGTCGTGGATTATTTTGTTGCTCGTGTTTGATGGCAACATCGAGTTAACAGTAACGACGTTCGATGTCGCGTCTTTGGGAATGCGAGTATTCCCTTCAACAAACTGGTTTTGTTGCACCAGTTGAGATGGCTCAGTCACGTTCTACGCATGGCATCTGAGCGTCTACCGAGTCGCGCTCTATTCGCTCGTCAAGGAGCTGGCGGGAGGCGACCGCGTGGTGGTCAGCCTTCTACATGGCGACAGCACATGCTATCGCTGACACCGTGTCTAGCCGCTGTTCGATCCGTACGTCTTCCAGGATGGCGACCCAAAGATGAGGTGTGCCAATGGTTTAACACTCTTGAAGACGGCCGACAACCGGAATCAGCGAAAGCATTGAGCACAGTATTGTATTGATTCACATGTTTAAGACTTCAAACATTGAAAAGGACGAACTGAGAGAAAAATCGGCGTGTGAAAAACAAAATAAAAATGTTTTGTTCTACTTTTTGTCAGAATGTTCCATTCTTTCTACGGCATGTTAGCTGAAGTGTGTTGTTCACCTTCAACTACTATGCCACGATGATTCTGACGCAATGACTGTTTCCTATGCGCTGATCTCCATACTTTTCTATTGGCTCTGTGTCTAGTTGCTAAACTGATGAGATTACATAGATATTCGCGTATACTCATTCATTTACATTTTGGATGTATTGTGTTTGCGACTGAAGAGAACAATCAAAATGTTAACAGCTCGCAACATTTGTACTGCTTCCGCAATAATGAAGTGGATAAATGGGACGCAAATGTTTTAATTTGGGGACTTGTAGGGGTAACAGTTGTGCCCAAGATGGAATCTCAAAGCTATCGTTGGCTAGCCGAACAACCTCCTCGTGGTGCCAGCTGAGTGGTTCGGGTTTAACCCGTTCCAGCAAATAGTTCGGCGGCAGTGTTCCAGGACGTGGTGGGTTTTCGCCTGGCAAGCGTTCTCCCTATAAAAAGCCATAAATGTCTGCTTATTAACACTGCGACGTGGCGGATGTGACTCGCCACACACTAAAGTCACTGGCCCGTGGATATCCGGAAATTGCTATCCAACCCACGTCATCAATCGCTTATTCCCACATCCCTGACGATAACAACCAGTCAAAAATACTGCGGCACATTCAAAAACAACTTACATTGATAGACAATTACATACGTATATACACCCGTACAGTTACATACACTGTTATGCAAAACATGTGCTTTTTGTACATTTTTGATCACACTATGTTAGCTAAACATGATCATGCCTGTAAAGGTGTGCCTCGCGTTGTCGAGAATAAAATTTTATTTATTTATTTATTAGATGTACGTCTGTGATGTTGTAAGCTTTTGGGAAACTACTTGAACCTCGGATCTTCATGCGCACTCAGGCAAACGATGTATACCAGTTTGCCTATAAACCCAAACGCTCCACACTGGATGTTGTATCGTACCTTTTACATTTAGTATCATCGGCAACGGATGAAAAATGCGGAGCAGTGCGCCTACTGGTTCTCGATTATTCTGATGCTTTTGGGAGCGTAAACAGATCAAGTCTACTCAAGCAGCTACTCACGAGCGGGGTGAAGACAAATGTCTGCAGTGTGATCACATACTACTTTACAAACTGTACCCACTTCAACAAAGTTAACGGAGTGAAATCATCTGCGGTTTGCTCTTATCGTGGTGTTTTATAAGGGGCGATTCTCTCCCCTACTGTCTTATTTATATATCGAAGACCTCCGTACATCGTCCAAGTTTAGTGGATGCGAGTATACAGATGATGTCGTGATAGGATGTTTATCCCCAACCGTTGTTACATCTACTCTTCTGAGTGGTCTGGATGAGTTCGTGCTGTGATCATCGACCCGGTCTCTCATTCTACACATTTCTAAATATCGTAATTTAACATTTTCTTTTCTTCGGGCTGATCAGTTGCAAGCTGTTTCGAACGCCACCTACACACTGGAAGTGAGTGATAAACACGTACCCAGGACATAGACTGTCAAATATCCTAGAATTTTTTTTATCCCAAAACCTATCTTTGAGTCTACCCATATAGCTAAAACAATTGACAAGCTTAGAATGCTATATTTTTTGCCCTTAGATTGCTTTCAGTACCTCGTAAGTTGATTTCGAAATTTGTGACGGCATACTGGCTTTACTGTTCCCCAGAAAATTTTCCAGGGCTACTAAATAAAGACTACGTATCGTTCTTAGGTTCGTTAAAACTTATTTCTAGATGCAATGACTGTCTAGAGAGGCACTAGTTGATTTTATTGTCCACAAACATGTAGACGCTTGTACTACATTTTCCTTAAAGTTCTAAACCACCCTTTTCATCCACTGCATGGAGCGTTGCGAAAAGCGCTATCTGTTCCTTTTACGCGCTCTAAATTAAGGCACTTATTTTCTAGCAGGGTTTCTCACTGCAATTCTAGCCTACCGTACTTATCACGACTACCTGTGAAGGTAACGAAACTCATCAGCATGACGCGTAATTGTTTGCTTGAGTGAAACATAAACATTTTGCATTACACAATTTATTTGTTACTGTCCAATAAATCTCATGTATTTCTTTATTCGCAATGATAGTGTAAAAAGCTGAAAATGTATCTACCCAGGTGCATAAAGCCTATTTTGACTTCACTTGAAATGACAGGCGTGGTCATATGCGTCCACTAATTCGGGAGTAGTGTTTTACATTCGGTTAGAGTGAAGTTCAGGCTATACCTGGGTGCGAAATTGAAGAGGAAAGGTCAAGTAGGGTAACCTCGGTGGACATCGCTTATTAGTAAATGAAGAGGAAAGCCTGCAGCAGACCGTGACTTGGTCTGACGTGTAACTGTACATTTCCTTCAGGGTGGTTATGAGCTTATAGATCACACTTTTCCTTAGCAGACAGTTCCACAGAGCAGGGCTTTCTGGTGAATCAAATGACGCTCGGATGTCAAGGAACTCTGTTGGTCGTCGGCGGATGTGACGAACTTCGAGTTCTCAAGACCATTTATCCAGTCAATGCCGTCTGCGTAAAAATAAGCTGCCAATCAGGTTTTTCGATCCCACAGTAAGCAACTGGATGTCCTGAAATCAATGTGTCCTCATAGTTTTCTGTAGGTTTTCAGGGTAGTACTGAGGTACTGCAATGCTGAAGGTGGATCACGCGAATGTTAAAGTTAAATATCTGGACGTCGCGTACCACACTTGCATCGACACTAATCGGAACTCACATGCGACACTGGTAAGTATACAATCAATTGGACTGAAATTTGAGAGTAAGCGTCTCACTGAGACAAAGGTGCACATGCGCATGCAAAGAACACCACAACAAAACCAGAGAATCAGTTCAAACGAAAGCCAACCACAGAAAGAGAAGAATTGGATGGATGCACAGTATGTCAGTGATTGCATTTATGAGACAATTGTCAATTGACTGTTAGGAATTTGACTTTGTTTGTCCCTCTGGAGTGATACCAGGTGAGCCGCACTGGAACAATTGCCATTAGTGTGTAAACGACGATACCTTGTCCCATATAGGTTTCAGGTCCCGTCTCATAGCATAAGCGTCTTCACCGTCGGCGTAGTATTTCGGTTCAACGTCTGAAACGCTTTTGATGTGACTCGACTCAATAATCAAAAGACTTACACGAATTCTAGGGTCTTCTTGTACAGAGTTAACGCGGCCCTGTTACTTTTTCGGACATGAAGTGATACATAATGTGCACGAAAATTTTCAACCATAGCTCGAGAAGCAAGGTTCATTAATGTCTGGGCGATTCCGAGGCGTCTGTAAGGTCGCTTGACGGCCAGTGATGTAATGTGACCATAAGGGACATCTTCGGGATCCTCTTCCCTAAACGATCGTAATCAATTTATGAAGCTTACATTTTGGCCAACACGTAACCCACGATTTCTTTGTCGTCAGTCTCTGCTACGTAAGACAGCTGTGGCCACGATAATCCATGGTAGAAATAATACTTCATTTGATAGTTTTCGGGAAGACAATCCAAATTGCAATCTCTCATGTTTAAAAGGTCGGACGGCTGTAAATAATTTGAAGTGCCTAGAAAACTAACCCGAGCACTCCGGATATTCATCTTTGACGAGTGTGTGCACTAAGCTGCAACGGCGTCGTTTAGTTTCTCTGGAATAATAAACAAAGAAATAAATAAATGAAGCGCACGGCAGACTCATCAGCAAAATGAAGATATTATCGCCGTAACCTTCGCCAACTAGAAGTGCAAACGCAGTGACAACCCTTCCACAATTCGCTACTGGCACAAAGAGTACGATAGGACTCGAATGGCATCTGGTAGATATTTGGTTCTAGTCATAATAAAACACATTTCGTACGATCGAAACTTTTTTTTACCGGAAAGAGTTGAAATGAAACGAATGAAAGCGAATGCACACGCGCAAGCACCCATACCTACGATGCTGCGCAATTGTACACACTTTCACTTTACTAACCACTGCAAGTTCAAGGAGAACATACATTAGCTAGTTTCTAAAAGATATGTTGACGTCAGTACACCGTTAGACAAGTGGTTCATTTTGAATAGGTCCACTGCTTCCATTAGTGCGAATTGTTGCTCGTCCGTCTGTGGGTTGGACCTAGCTGCCGATCCTGTCCAGCACAGTGGACTCAATGATTTCAGGGGGCTTTAACAGGCATATAACCATGAAATCACAGTGCAACGTACCGATGACAGTCCTAGTAGAATTTGTTCCAGCTAGGTGACTCATCACTAAGTCCACGCCAAACGACCATCACGCAAATCAGTATCCATGAAGGTGGCAGGAAGTGGTGCGTGGCCACTGACGCTGAACTTCTTCCAACCAGTGACAGGCAGGTTCCTTTCGGAGACCGAGTAAACCAACATAACCGTTTGTGCCATAAATTGCATCTCTTCGGGTTAACATGTCAGAAAAATCATGTCGTCCAGTGAGTCCGTCGAGATAGGTAAAATGTATACTTTTTATACAGAACTGTATCAACAAAATTACTTATAAGCGAAGTGTCTATAGCTGCTCAAAAGTACTTTTCATTCCAAGAAACGTGCATCTGTGAAGCTGAAATAAGCAGTAGCACTGGTATACGATGTAATCGCGTTTACAATCATCAGTTTCATATTGCCGCTACCAGATTGTTGTGATGAGATCATCGGCAAAGGTGACATGACGCAAAAGTGGATGTTAACACTGTAGGAGCTTTAACTCATTCTGCTATTTTTAGCTTATTTCTCTTCGCACAGGGAAGATATTAGCCACAATCATGTGACTTTCTAACCACAGCATTCAAAAGCTATTGATGTGCATACAATCAATAGACAACTTACTTTGAACTCTGGCTTATACCATCTAGCCAACTACCACCTGTGTTTTCCCTGTGCAATCTTTCTGCCCTACTGTCGTAGTGTATTTTCGGGAGCCTCCCAAAATATATCATTGGGATACCAACAAGATTTTATTTCTAACATACAGTAAGGACGACGGGACATGGCTATTTTCGGACTCCGCACCTAGTCAGCGCTCCTACAACACTCCTTAAGCCATTTACTCACAGGTAGAGTGAGGATGCACAGCGAACTAACGCCACCCTTCAATATCAGCAGGGGCGAGACAGTGTGCCAAGAATCACCTTTCTTGTTCAACTTGGCTACGGAGTCCCTGGAGAATGTACTGAACAACTGCAAGTCCAACGGTGTCGGGTCACTTTCGACAGACCGACATCGGCACTTGGAGTATGCAGACGATCGTCGTAATTTCAGATTCTTCGCGCACCGCCCAAAATGTGTTGCGTAAATTGTAGGTGTCTGTCTCTCAGTTCGGAATGAACTTCGCCCCAACAAAGTGTAGAGTTCTGTTGCAGGATTGATGAGGATCTGCCCCTACCCTTCCGCGTCATCCGTTGGAAGTGGTATACAAGTTAGTTTATCTCGGAAGTTGCGACAGCGAGAGCGGTTCAAGGAATGAGGTCTCTGCGCGTCCTTAAGGTCCGGGTTACTCTTACCAATCTCAGGCGTCGACACGACCTAAGCCTCACTGTGGAAGGCCGTCTATAATGGTGCAGCGCGATCAATGCTGCTCTATGGTTGCGAGATAGCTAGCTCGCGTAAATGATGTTCAAGGGATGTTTTGTTTTCGTGCAACGCTGCCTTCGAAACAATGCTGATTTACGATGACGACATCACAGTATTAATGACGACGTTCCTCGAAGCATTTTCACCTCAAACACTGCTGACTGCACAGTTACATCATGTTACTGCACAAACTAGGGTGAGTTGGGCACGTGCTTCGCATGCCAATTCAGCAGTAGCCTCATCGACTGGACATGGAAGTAAAATGGCCAACGAATTATTTGGGCCCAAGGTATGAAAGCGCTAACTTCATAATTGGCCGGGGTAAGGTGCTTTCGATTCCCAGAAACTCTCTCGGACATAATAACCTTTGGCACTAAATGGTGATCCTGTGAAACCCTACTGCCGTGATTTCTGCTTTTGTCTTTTCCATCTCTTTCATCACATTGCATTTACCCATATTTTGTGGCACTCTACTAGTTATGATACTAGTGGCCATATATATATATATATATATATATATATATATATATGTTGGTTGTATTTTTTTGCTGCCTTTTCGGCCTGTTTTCAGCAATCGAGATCGGCATGCACGAGCACACGAAGATCATTTTCATAGGAGGCGCGTTGCAAAAGATGTTCTCTTAGCCGGTATGAGTAAGTTCTCTGGTGACCTATGTTCAGCACTCGACATTTGGCAGCGTTGAACTCTATCATTTGCAGAGATAACCAAACGTGAGCCCTGTCGAGATCAACTTGTAATGTTGTTGCTATTTACCGTCCTGACAGTCCACCAGATTTCGTGATCGTCCGCGAAGAGTCGATCACTAACAAGAGGTAGTTAATGAATAGGAGGAAAAGCTTTTGTCCTAGAACCGAGCCTTGTGGGGCGCCGCATTGCATCTCTATCCGGTCAGATAAGGTGCTATGAACACTCACATTTAGACGAGGTTGAATTAAGTATGTACGTATCCAAGCCAGGATGAGGTCGCCGTTTCCACAGCTCTGGAGCTTGCGAAGGAGGATATTGTGATCAAGACGATCAAACGCTTACGCGAAATGGAGGTACACAGCATCAACTCAATGCTCATCGTCGAGAGATGCCGTCCAGCTGGCACAAGCTAACAAGAGGTTCGTGGTATATGAGTGGTTTCGGTGGAAACTGTCTTGCTCCGGTAAGATGACATTGTAACTTTCCAAATATCCGACGTGGGCTTCTGCAATAGCGAATTCGGTGAGCCTGGAATGAACTGGGAGAAGGGTTATGGGGCGGTAGTTTGCAAATTCAGCGCGGGTTGCCCCTCTTGTAAATGGGAGTGACTACGCCATGTTTTCACATGGTCGGGACCTGAATGTAGTAGGGTCAATATTGGAAAAACCGGGACAACGGTTAAGCTAAGCTGCTGATCGCCACTTTCAATAGCCTTAGGTGTCCGCACCAGGAGAACTGTAGTGATATCAGTCGCTTCAGTACGTCCACGGCATTAAATGAGAAGTGTCTAGGTCTTGGTGGTGGCGTGATCGGTATGAGAGATGTAAGGGATATCAGTGAGTTATGGAAATTACAAGTGAATTGTTGTCTAAGAGCGTTGGCCGCTTTTTGCAGTTTGCGCTTGCCCGCGTGCGGTGTTTAGAGAGGGGATACCAGCTCTAGTTTACGAAGTTCGATTACATGCCTGTAAAGTAGCTTGGGGTTGCAGCAGAATCTCTCTGTTAAATCCTGCTGATATTTTAATGTATCCTGGCGGATCAGGCGAACACAATGATTCCACTCGGTTACATAGGCCTTTCAGTTCTCAGCGTTCGTATTGGCTTTGTATGCTTACTAAAGCGAACCGCTCAAAGACATACGTTTCCGCGTTCGACTCCACAGAAAGGGCTACATCATTTTTACTGCATTTAGCCTCTGATGCGTTTGTTACTAGCGTGCTGAACAGGTTAACGAATTTATCCCAATCGACCTCAGGGCTTCGTCAACTATGAACGACCAATCAGTAGCCATGATGAAGACGGATAGCATAAAATAGTGCGCTACGATACAAATTTCTACGTTGTCCCCTTTGGAGTGCTCCGCATAACAGACGCATTGGAAAAGCAATATCGCATGATCGTTGCGTCCCAACAAGCTGCTCACTGTTACTGTGTCGAATATAAGTTCCCTACTGGTAAACGCAAGGTCAAGGATAGCCGATTTGCTTCCTGTTATGAATCACGTAGGGGAGGTAATGTGGCTATGAATTGGCAAGCCAGCGACTAGCTCTTGCCGTTCGGGTTTAAAATGCTCATTGGGGATGGCTGGAAGTTGAAGTTTCCCACAAGGAGAACGGGACTGGGCATTAGCTAAGCAGTTGTCCATTCCTACAGTTGACATCTGGGGACGGTATACGATGACTACCAAACATGTCACCACGTCTGAGTTGCAAGCGGACCCAAAGCGGGTCAACAACTTGAGTCTCTGGGTAATTAACAACTTCGAAATGTAGGTCACCGCGATGGTAAAAAAAGTACGACACCTCCCCTACGTGGTCGATCATTTCGGAGGATAGACTTGTCTGGTAAGGAGATCTCGGCATCAGTGATTTCGCCGTTGAGCTAGGTTTCAGTTATCATGATCATGTCCAAGGGCGTAGAAGCTTGACGACAACGAAGGTTAGAAAATTTGCTGGGGAGGCCCTGTGCGTTAGTGTAAAAACAGGATAGTGTTTCGAATGTCAGAAGCGTGTTTGGAGACGTGGGAATCAGGTGAGATTTTAAGCCAACCTTTGTGACGTCGCCAACTAATCGTTTATGAGTGAACTACTGATACCAGACTTTGCGCCTCTTCGTGTCGGCTGATAGAAAGCTCACGTGATGAAGTTCCGGTTAAAGTGGTCATTAGGCAAAGGTGGACTTGGTCATTAGTCGATGTTTCTGTGAGAGCTTGTCATGGACGGCAGTTGTATGACTCAAAAGTAAGGTTTGCTGGGGTAGTTCATAAGGCTTAGTAATTTCACTCTGCCTCGGTCGACTGCGGTCTG